TGAAGCCTTGAATCCACTCTTGACATAGCAGCCAGAGTGACTTTTCTAAAATGTAAATCGTATCATGTCATTCCCCTGCTTAAATCCTTCAGTTGTTGTCTCCGTATCTCAAAGTCAAAACTCCACTGGGGCTACGACACCTGGCAGGATCTGGCCCCCGCCAGAATTTCCAGGTTCATCCTGCGCCATCAGGGCTGAACAAAACCTCAGAAGCTCTAAGCACTGAAAAGATAATGCTTCTTCTGCCACACGAAATTACAAATAAAAGCAACACTAAAATGTAAAATAAACTGCAGGTCTTTGATTTTAGTCTTGAAATATCAATTTCTTTCAGAAAGTGTTCCCCTCTTTTCACTACCCCCTCCCCTTCACCCCTTCTCCTTCTCCATCCTGGTTGCCTCTCTACTCGTTTAGCTCCTTCAGTGCTCTGTGCTGCCTCTTCAGGCTGCTCCTCCTGCCCAAATTGCTCCTCTTGCTCTCACTAGCCTTCTTTGTCCAATTAACTCCTACTCATCCTTCACTGCTCATTGTAAAAGTGAGTTTCCAAGGACCTTTTCTCTGGGTGACTCTAACCAGCCCCTTGAGTTAGATGTGCTTGTATTCATGTGTTTCACCCTGGCTGGCCCATACATTCACAAATGCATGTGCTCACATTGGCACATTTATAGTCTGTGACAGTGTGAAAATCACTGGAATTATGGAAGTATTGGTCTTGGGGGACAAGAAGCCTGAGGCTTTATCTCAGATTTGCTACAAGCTCTGTGTGACCTTGGATAAGTTCATTTCCTCTCTCTGGGGCTGTGGCCAGTGGGAGACGTATGGAGACTCCATGTCATTCCATTCAGTTACTGGAGCATTCATCCATTCATTCACTGATTTTATTCAGTCACACATTTGCTCATTGAGGCTTATGGAGCCTGTCTTCTGTGTCAGGAGGCTGGGGATTCAGAATGAATTCAAAAGCAAGAATTTAAAGTAAAGGGGGCAAGACAAACATAAACTACTTAGTATATGACTAGGCACATGGATACATGTACTAAAGAGAGGTCAGGCAGGTCAGGCAGTCGAGGTGGGAGCGCAGAGGAGGTAGCAATTAGCTCAGATCTAGGAAGCCGTTTTTAAGAAAGTGACCTTGAAGGGATGAGAAAGGAGAAATGCTTCTCAGGGACCTGCCTTTCAGGTTTGTTGGGTGTGTGCAGGCTCTTTAGGGAACTGGCTCTTTCCTTTACAATCCTCCGCTGGCCTTCTGCAAGAGTTTTGCTCTCCTAATCATGCCCTTTCAAAGCTGCATCTCCAGGGATGGTTGAGGATTTTTCTAAATGATTCCCTGTTGCCTAAGCCCAAGTTCTTCAGCCTGGTAGTTGGTTCTTCTCACCTGGCCCCATCTTCCTCTTCCAGCCTCTTTGCCTGTTTCTCCCTCCTGCCATCATTGTTTCAACTATGTTAAACTATGCTAATGATATGTCCTCTGCCTTGGTGCCTTTGCTGATGCTGTTCCTTCTGCCTATTTGCTTTCTTCTAGAAAGCTCTCTTGCACAACACACTGCAGTTAGCAACTTCCTTTATTGTGCTTTCATTATACTTTATGTATCGTTGCAATGACGGCTCTTACCACTTTGTTCTGAAATGATCTGTGAACTCCTTGCAGTCCTATCTGCACCCTATCTGCATCATTTCTGTAAATGTACTTCCCAGGCTGGGCACCTGGGAAATGTCTGATGGATGTTTGTTGAACAGAAGGGGGTAGATTTAAGTTTGAGACATCAAAAGACCAATCTGGCCTATTTTGCTCTTATTTACCTAATGCATCATGCCTGTCAGATCCGAAGAATAAGGAGAGGAAGAAGAGGAGGCAAAATGGATTGGGTTATGCTTAGCTTTTGGCTCTGCAAACTGGTTGGTTGATTTCAGTATAGAACATGGTACTAGTTAGTTGTTAAGATACCAGCCATTCCTGAACCAAACAGATCTAACCCCCTATGATAACCCCTTTGATAGTTGTTCACCTATCAAACTCCTAATTATTCTTTAAGACTTTAGTGAAGCCTGCTCTGACTTTGCCCACAAGCCCCTGTAGTGTGGGCCACTCCTTTACCACTTGACCTTGACCTTTCTTCTATCATTGCATGTATATTGTAGTTGATCACCTTAGAAACTAGTAATTTGTATTATTATAATAATTTTAATAAATATTATAAATATAGTAATTCAATTCTAAGTGATTAAATATTTTTATGTTAACAAATATAGCCATATTATGGAATAGATATTTATTATAAATATTATTAGTAATGCAATTATAGTAGTTTATTATAAATACAGTAATTTAATTCTGATTAAAATATTTTAATATTATAGTAATTTTATTCTATAGCATTTTATGTTAAAACAAATATAACCATATTATGGAATTGAAGCTAAAATAATACAAGAATTTTTAGAATAAAATAGGACATATAAAAATAATGGTAGCATTTATTGAACACTTAGTATACCCATGGCACTGTGATAAATGCTTTACATGCATTGAATTTTGCAAGCAGCAATCTATTTCAGTTCCCTTCCATGTCCCTAGGCATAAGCATACCAGCTCTGCTAGTGTTTGTGGCGTGTGAGTGGAAGAGTCTGAGAAGGGCTGTTTACTTGAGGTCTGCATTTCTGCATTTCTAGTGCCCTACTCTGTGCAGCCTGGTGCAGAGTCAAACATCTGTAAATGCTTGTGGAAAGAATGAAGCCTGCTCTCTCTCTGCTGGGTATCCTTTTTTCCCTTCCACCTGGTGAACTCTTATTGATCCTGCAATACACAGTTTAAGTGTCACTCCTACTGTGAAATGTGACTGTTATTTGGCTCCTACAGCCCCTGAACTTCCCTCAAAAGCAGCACTGAGCAACTGGATTATCACTCTGTTTACTTACTGGACTCCCCTCAAGGTAGGGCAGTTCTTCTAGGGATGAGTCTGAGTCTGATTTTCCCAGCCCCTAATAAAGGGCTTGATACAGAGAAGCCCTCAATGAACATTTGTTCAGTAAATGGAGCAATAAAATTAGTTAATATTCAGAGCTGATCCCCCAAAGGAGGAAGAAGTGATTCTGTGTTCAGTCTTGATAAGGCCCCTTTTCTTACCTTGTGTCGTGTGTTGAATGAGTACAAACTCTAACCCCTGGAACCTGTGAATATCACCTATTTGGAAAAAGGGTCTTTGCAATTAACGACTGCAAAATGAGATCTGGATTATCTGAGTGGGCCCTAAATTCTAAAACAAGTGTTCTTGTAAGAAAAAGAAGAGAAGACACAGGAAGAAGAGGAGAAGACCAGAGACTGGACTTCCCCAGTCTCTGAAGCAGAGATTAGAAGTTATGTAGCCACAGCCAAGGAATACCTGGAGCCACCAGAAGATGAGAGAGACAAGGAAGGGTCTCCTTTAGAGCCTTCTGGGAAAGTGGGACACCTTCATTTTGGGTTTCTGGCCTCTAGAACTGCAAAGGAACAAATTTCCATTGTTTTAAGCTACCCAGTTTGTGGCAATTTGATATGGCAGCTTCAGGAAAAGAATTCAGCTTAGAAATAAAAAAGTGTTTTCTGTGAAATTCCACCAGATCTTGGCACTATGAGAGTGGAACCTGATGAGATCTGGGATTCCCCAAGTTCTCCCCTCTGGACAGCAATCCTATTACTACCATTTTACAGATGGGAAAACTAAAGCTGAGAGAGGGGAACTGGCTTGCCAGGAACATATAGCTAGAAGGTGGCAGAGCCAAGATGCCAAAAGTGCCTGATACCTGTTGTGTCTGACCCTAAGACACGGTGTTCTTTCAACTACATCATTCCAGGTGCTACAAAAATTCACAGTCCAGGAGGGGAAAAAATGTAGATCAATATTCTGCAGAACGACTCAATGCTTTTTATTACAGAAGCAATTGTTTATAGACACTCATTATGATCAAGGAAGTGATCATGGAAGAGTGGCATTTGAGCTGGGCATTCACTTAAAAAAAATCCAGAGTATCTGTCAGGTACTGGGAATCCTGTATGACAAGGTGCGTGTGTATGTGTGTAGCTGCATGTATTATAAACTCATTTAAAGACAATGCAATAGAAAATCAGGAATATGGTAAAGGAAAGGTTACCAATTCAGGGTCCCAGAGTGGACCAGAGAAGGCTTTTGGAAGAGAAACCAGCCCCAGATGAGATTTGATGAGCAAGGAAGCATTAGGAGGAGAAAAATAGCAAAAGCTTTCTAGGGACAGCATAAGCAACCCACTTGTAGAGGTGAAAACAGCGTCCTGGGTGCCTGGCACACCTTGTAGCTCAGAGTACCAGTAAGGGGAGTGAAGGGAGGAGCGTCGACTTGTGGGCTGGAGGTAGTCATGGAAGAACTGGTAGGACTGCCCGGCAGGTTTCTCGTCCCAGTGCATCCTGCGTGGAGGCTTTCTGTCGAGCCATAAACTACTCCTATTCAAATTCCCGCAGGTTGACTGGAGGCACTCAGGAAAACCCTGCTCAGGGAGCTTGCAACTGTAGACCAGACATCGCGATTCAGCTACCGCCTAATGGGTCTCTGCCCCCGGAGGGAGGCAGGTTACCATGGCAACTAGGTTAGGGCGGAAGAGGCTCTGAAGACTGAGTCTCACTAATCAGGTGACTCTCCTGCCTCCCGCACGTGACAACGGAGCCCAGGCGCGCTCTCTACCTAATCAGACCTCGCCCTTCTTTCCCTTTACTGACAACTGACAGCGACCTATAGCAACAGCCCTTGCAGTTCCACCAGGAGACCCCGCCTCGTGGTAGTGAAAGAACCAATTAGACTGGGAAAAAAGAAGCAACGTCCCAGGTTTTACCCCAGTTTGACAGACGCAATTTAGGCCATTCCCCGGTCCCTCCGCCCCTAGTCTATTCCGGTCTGCGATGGAAAGACCTGCTACCCAATAGGGCTTCCCTTATTTGTCGTTGGGTTCCGCCCCCATGGGAGCTGAACCAATAAGAAAGCCAGGTCTCGGCGGGGTGGGGGCTCACTGCGGTATTATGGCTCTTCCTTAGCCAGCGGCGGCGGCCGGAGGTGGGGTAGAGCAGTCCTGACTCTCGGGTGGCGGGTTGCTGGGCTACAGGGGCTCGGAGGCTGGTGGCTGGGCGGTGGTGGCGGATGCCGGAGGAGCACCAGCCCCGCCGCTTGGCGGCCCCTGGGTCAGGATGAGCGCCTCAGCGTCGGTCGGGGGCCCGGTGCCCCCACCGCCCCCGGGCCCGGCCGCCGCGCTGCCTCCCGGTTCTGCCTCCCGGGCCCTGCATGTGGAGCTGCCTTTTCAGCAGGTAACCCCGTGGGCTCGCGGCGCTCGGGAGGGCCGGGAGGAGGCTCGTGAGGAGACCCTGGGGGCGGCGCGCTGACCCTGTGTTAGGCGGGAGACCCGGAGAAGTGGCTGGGGAGAACTCGGACTACTGGGGAGGGCGGTCTGCAGGTCTGGCGAGGGGAGGGATCCGGCGATGGTCGAACCTCTGGGCGATCCCCAAGTCCCAAGAGAAATCCCGTTCCTGGAGGTGAGCTGCAATGAGGCTGGAAGAGACCCATGAAGCTCCATGGGGGGCCGGGTGTGAGTGTAGGGAGCTGGGGATTCCCTTGCGCAGACCCCTCCCCCTTATCGCTCCTGGGAGGGGACATGGGGAAGCCCTGGTTTCCCACGGGAGACACGGAAAGCAGTTTTCTTTTCTCAACCCCCTTGCGGAGAAACCTGCTGGAGACCTGAGGAGTCTTTAGGATTTGTAGCATTTACTTTTAATCTCTCCTTACCATGAAGATAAATCCTTGGGGCTTTAGTGTTACCTTCCTAATTCTCAGTCCCCAAGGAATGCATTTTAGCAATTAAGGGGGAGCTTTCCTACTTCATTCCTTCACCAGACTGTGAAGGAGGATTTAATGTATATATATTCATATTCCCCGGTCCTTTAGCTCCGGTCTCTTGGATCCACATTGAAGGGGAATAATAGAGAACAGTGCCTTCGGGGATCTGACAAGATTCTGTGTATCACCCAAATACTTGTAGTGTACTTCTTCCCTCCTTCTCTGCCTTGCCCTCCTTCTAGCCCCTAAGAAAATACTTTGTATTTGCAGGAACAACCATTAGGAAACTTTTAAAATGTCTTTCACTTTCTGTCTTCTAAAAAGACCTAAGAAAACCTGTCAGTTATTGAGAGTTTACCATGTTGCATTTGTGCGAAGTGCTCAACGGCTAGTACATTGAGTTACAACTCTATGAGATAGCTGTTGTTATTATTCCTCATTTTAGTTCAGGAAACTGAGGATTAAAGATGTAAAATCACCTCCGAAGGCTTGCAGTTGGTGAATGGCTTCAGTAATCCCAGCGTCTGACCCTGTAGCCCATGCACGTGGTTGTGTGCTTGAGACTTGAGCAATTACCTTTATACAGGATAGAGCGCGTTCCTCCAAACCTTTCCTCCAACTTTCAATCTCTGCCATATACTTAGGAAAGATTCATAAAGAAGAAAGCAGAGGCTGAGGGCTGAGGGCGGATGGGAAATGGGATGGATTTGTATACAGTAAAGTGGTGGCGTGCTAAAGCATAGGTGTGTTGGAGACAGTAGCTACAGTGGTAGCCATTGAGCTGAATTGTTTGCAGCTATTTGTGTGGTAGCAAAGGATTTAAAAGACTGGGAGAGCATGTGCTTTGGTTTGGTTGTACTGTTGGGAAGTGAGTTTGTGGAGAATTTGAAGGTAGTGAGGGTTAGATTGTATTTATGAGGTGCTGTGAGAGAGTAGAAGTCTGGTGGGAGTAGGCCAGCCTCTGGAAAGAGCATTAAGGTGAATTTCCGCGTGTGTGTGTGTAGGTGGATTGTGAGAGTGGATACTGGGGGAGAAAATGGTGGGCATGTTACAAGCAGCGTGTGTGTGTGTGTGTGTGTGTGTGTGTGTGTGTGTGTAGGTGGATTGTGAGAGTGGATACTGGGGGAGGCAATGGTGGGCATGTTTCAAGCAGCCTGGAGAAATCCTAGGGAGTTGAGGGACAAGAGGGATTTAATTTAGGAGAGTGTTGGGAAGATGTGGGATTAGGAAAGAGAAAATGTCATTTGTTTCGTAAAGCCTGTTTTCTGAAACAGTTCACAGTTTAAAGTTGGGGGAAATAATCCAAACTGTCCATGGAATAAATTCAAATGCATTTGTAAGTGCTTGTCAAGGTTTTAGATTTGTGCAGAGGGATATATAGAGGCTGAATGCTGTGAGAGTTCTGAATGTGGAATTTATAGCTTTCTCGGGGTGGCATCCTTCTTGAATTCTTGGAAAGCAGCCTATATAAAAAAAAACACTTTTTACGTTTTGCAATTGACATTCATTTAGCTTTCTGGGTTAAAATGCTCAGGTTTTTAGGATATAAATACATAATATTTTAAAAAACAAACATTTTTGTTAGTGTTATCTGTATATGATTAAGTATACCTGTTGTTAGTACACAGCTTGATGAATTTTCACAAAGTGAAGTTACATAACTACTACCCAGATTTAGAAATACAAAATTATTACCCCAGAAGTGTCCCTCTGACCCAGCAATGTTCTCCCCCATCTCTACCTTGTCTTTCTTTCCAGAGGAACCACTATTCTGATTTCTGACATAAGAGATCAGTTTTTGACACAGAAGAAAATTCATTGTCCTTTTTTGCCAATGGCTTTTGCAAAATTTAAAAGGGTAGATAGTTGGGAGTTCAATTGAATTTAATAGATCCTATGCTATTTCATAAGGTGTTATTTCTAAACAAACCCTGTTGATTCAGGATTTCTGTGATTAAGTTGATTCACTCAAAGTATAGAGTCAGTGGTTTCCCAGTCTACTTCTAAGGCAGTAGTTTTCAACCTCAGCCCTGTTGATTTTTTTGGGTGAGTAGATGGGCCTATAGGGTGTTGAGCCACATCTGTGGCCTCTACCCACAATATACTGGTAGCACCTGCCCAGATTTGACAATCAAAAATGTCTGGGTGTCGCCAGATGTCCCTTAGGGGGCAAAATTACTCCTGGTTGAGAACCACTGTTCTAAGTATATTTTCATTTTAGGATAGAGAGTATCCCTGCTATTGTCTTCTCATTTATTCCAGTCTTCATCAGGTCCCATTGTTTCTGGTGGCTGCAATGTTTAAAACACAAATTCAATATATATTAGTTACAAAGGTATTGGAATGCACCCCCTTCTCCAGTCTGCCTCCAGAAAAATACTTATTTTGTTTTTGCTCAAAGAAACCCCACAAAACTACGTATAAATCCTAACCTAATTTTATTTTAATCCACTTGGCTTAAAAAAAAGTTTAGTTACGACTGTGTAACACTTGAACCTTTGCATGTATGAGTACTAACTATAGTCCATAATAGCTACTTGACTGTGTCAAATGGGACTACTTTGCCTCTTTTTGTTTGTGTATGATTTTACTTTAACTGTAAGCGTGAACTAGTTGCACATTTTAAAGACTGTTTTGCTCTTTAATTTTTGCTTGAGGTTTGTGATTAACTAGTGAATATAAGCTCATCTGAAGGATACCTTCCTTTACACGCTTAGGTTTAGGACTTTTTAGGAAAGAATTTGTGTTTTATGGTAGAGGCATTTGTCCTTGAAAGTTTAATTGAAAAATTTTTTTTTCCTCCTCAAAGGCTTCCTCACTTGCATGTAACCTAATTATGTTTCTCAGATACTCAGAGCTGTGAGGTTTTTTCCTCATGATGTTTTAATGACTTCCCAGGGAATCACGTATTTCTTTAAGAATTTGGTGAAAGCAATAGACCCTTTCCTCAGAAAATGCACTTAACATATACACATAAACATAATTTTGCATGCAGGTTTGGGTCCCTTGAAATATACATAAATGGAAGATCCCAGATTAAATAGTCCTAACCTGGTTTAATCTCCTCGTTTTAAAAAATTTTTTTAAATTTGCAACTTGTTTTTTTCTTAGGTGTCTATGTCAGTATGTTTACCTCTACCACATTTTGCATAATAATATACAGGTATGTTTGTTTATTTAACCCCCTGTTGGTAGCCTTTTGGACTATTTACAGTTTCCCACTGTTACATTGTTGCAGTGCCTATCCATATACAGGCATCTTTGTACATTCCTGCTAATATTTCTGTAGGATGAATTTTGAGCAGTGAAATCACTGAAAGGATGTGTCTTTCATTGTCTCTCTCTCGCTCTATATATAGATGGACAGATATATGTATATTTTTTTAACTTTAAAATATACTGCATAGTGTTTACTAAAAAAGACTTGTATTACACCATGACCACCAAATTACAACAGGACCTGTTTCTCCATATTTTTTGTTAACTTTGGCCATCATAAGTTTTCTCAATGTTTTCCAGTCTGATTTTATGTAGATATACTAATATCTACATATATATAAATATTAATATATAAAGTCTGTATATATATATGTATATATTTTAAGTTTGCATTTATTTATTATACTTTAAATAATATATGTGTTCATTTATTGTATACCAAGCATTATGCTAAGGACACATAACTATGAATTTTAATATCTTTGGATAGATTTATGTAGCATTTTAATTTCTTTTGTGAATTGCTTGTTTATTCATGTCCTTGGCATTAATTTGTTTGCTTGCTCATGTTTTTCATTAATTTGAGGAGCATTTTTCCTGTCCTTTTTTTGGGAAGGAGGTGAGCTATATTAGTGTTACTAGCCCTTATCTCCCTTGAAATTTTTTTAGGTAGACTTTATTTTTTAGAACAGTTTTAGACATGTAGAAAAATTGAGATTGAGAAGATAATACAGAAAGTTCTCATATGCCCTACACCAATTTTCCCCTATTATTATTTTGCTCAGGTATTTGAATATAAAATTTCAATAGAATATGCTTAACACTCTCTCAGATTCATACCACATAATCCTCTATTTTTAAATGGTCAAGCATTCTAAATCTGGGACTTGCAATAGCACACTCATGATGAATGCAGATCACCGTTTCTATCAAATGACCCGTATGTCATATTGTAGGCTGCTCTCTGAAGATTATTTTTACACATCAGTTTGATCTGTTATTGGTTCCCACATTTTCCCCTATTCTTAAGATTAGTATGGTACATATGTTACAATTAATGAGCTGATAGTGATATATTATTATTAACTGAAGTCCATAGTATTTTTGGATTTCTTTAGTTTAAAAAAATTATGGTAAAATGTACATAACATAAAATTTTCCATTTTAACCATTTTTAAGTGTACAATTCAGTGGCATTAAGTATTTTCTCAATGTTGTACAACCATCACCACTGTCTGTTTTTGGAATTTTTCAT